CCAATCTGAGCAACTTAGTGAGAATCTGTCTTAAAATAAAAGTGGAAAGACAGGGCTAAAGAGATGACTCAAAGGTTAAGAGCACTTGCTGTTCTTGCAGAAGGTCTAGGTCTAGTTCCAGCACCTACATGACAGCTTATAATAGTCTGTACCTCAAGCTCCAGGTGATCCAACACCTAAGATTTATTTGTGAATTTGTATTTAATTATGTACATATATATGGTGTGTGTATGTGAGTACAGGTGCCGTTGGGGCCATTGGATCCCCCGGAGTCAGAGTTACAGGCAATTGTGAGCTGGAAAATGTGGGTTCTGGGAACTGAACTCAGGTACTCATAATCCCAGAGCCAACTGCCTAGCTAAAAACTACAAAATAAAAAAGAAAATAAATAGAGGGCTGGGTAGGCACACACTGAGTAGTAAAAAATGCTTCACTAACAGGTGTAAGACCTGAGATTCAGTCCTAGTACTACAAGGGAGTGTGTGTATGTGGTGGATGTAACTGTGGTAAAATAACCTAACAGAGGCAACTTAAGTGGAGAAATGGTTATTTTGGTACCCCCCCCCACTCTCTCTCTCTTTCACTCTCGTAGACAGGGTTTCAATGTGTAGCCCTGGCTGTCTTGGAACTCACTTGAATGCCAGCCTGGCCTTGAATTCAGAGATTGACCTGCCTCTGCCTCCCGAGTGCTGGGATTAGAGGTGTGTATCATCACTGCCCAGCTTGGCTTATGGGTTTGATAGTCTGTCATGGAAGGGAAGATGTGGTGGCTGGAGCAGTTTGGACAGTGGAAGTGGAAATGTGAGGCGGTTGGTTATGTGACATTGACACTCAGGAAGCAGAAAGCCCAGGTGGGAAGCAGAGCTGGTCCATTATCAGGTCTCGACTTCCGTGTCTCAGTAGTTCCAGCTAATGTACAACTTCCCCAAACATCTTTATTAGCTGAGAAACTTGCTCAGCCACATGCGCCCACGGTGTACATTACATTTGTACCACAGCAACATTATTAGAAATAGTACAAACCAAGCCAGAGTGTATCATTTGAAGAATAGCACTGTGCACGGTGTACCTTCAAATTGTACTTACATGGAGATATTTACCTATTATCTTTAGCTCACTCTAGTTTAACAAAAATGTCTCCAGGAGTCATTTATTCATAGAGGAGAGGCTCACTCAGACTTCATTTACTCCTAGTTTAGACAGTATTATAGGTGCTGGGTTTTTCTAGAACGCCTCATGGTGAGGGGAAACAAGTTAGAGGATAAGTATAGTGAGACAAGTCTAATCCTAGCACCTGAAAGGGGAAGACAGGAGGAGCAGGAGTTCAAGGTCACTTTTGATTTCAGATCAAGCCCCAGGTCAACCTGGGCCACATTTCAGGTAGGAAGGCTAAGGTTATAGGAAGTGAGAGCAGTTGTTTGTGCAAAAAAAAAAAAAAAAAAAAAAAAAAAAGACAACTTTGAGTTGTCTTCAAATTCTTGGGTTTAATTAATTATAACCAAAGAATATTCAGATCACCAGCATATTAAATCTCAGCACAGTAACTGGAATTATAATGCTGTGAGTATTGTTATTTTTGAAAGAAAATTATAGTAGTTATATTTTAGTGGAAGAGTTTGTTTATTCTCAAAACAAAGAGTGAGTTTTCATGGAGAAGTAAATAAAGTGTTTTTTTACCTTCAAAGCACTAGAACACTAGATTAAAAAAAAATTTTTTTTTTTTTGAGACAGGATTTCTCTGTGTTTTCCTGGTTGTCCTAGAACTCACTCTGTAGACCAGTCTGGCCTTGAACTCACAGAGATGTGCCTGCCTCTGCCTACCAAGTGCTGAGATTAAAGGCATGCACCACCACCCCTGGTTAAAAAAAAAAAAAAATTATAATAAAGAAAATTATGTGTGTTTTGCCTGCATGTATGTTGTGTACTTCTTGTGTGCTTAATGTCTGTGGAGGCCAGAAGAGAGTATTGGATCCGTGTAACAGGGGTTATAGACAGTTGTGGTATATCAGATGGGTGCTGAGAACTAAACCTGGGGCCTCTGTGAGACCAGCAAGTTCTCCTAACTAAACCGTGTGTTTTGTTTTTGAGACTGCATATTTCTGTGGAACGCTGGCTGTCCTGGAACTCACTGTGTAGACCAAGCAGGCCTAATAGTTAATGCATGTTGGGCGGCACTCTAGCAGTACACTACAGTTCTTTGCCCTTTTCAGTATAAATTTTGGCACAAGGTCTGGCCTCCAGCTTGTAGTCTTCTTCCCTCAGCCTCCCAGGCTTACAGTTCTGAGCCACATTGCTTGTCTATCTATGTTTTTATATCCTTTGTAAAAGATCTTCTTATTGGGGTCTTTGTTATTGTTGAAGTTAATAATGGTGTTGGTTCTTGAAAACAAACAAACAAAAAAAGATTATTGACACAGAAGTGGACAGACCTGACTGGGCAAAAGAAAACTGTACATTTGTGGCTGCAGGAACTCTTTGTAGTTGGCTTGCAGGATTTCTCTGAACATTCTGTAAATAATTTATACCCTGATGGCACTGCACAACCACAGTAATGGCACCTCTGGCTCCGGATGATATTAAGCACTTTAATAATTCATTGCTTATTGCAGCTGCTTCCCTGTAGCATGAGTGGAACAGGGGGGTCTACAACTCAGAACTGTAAAGCCTTCATTGAGACCTTTACATATCAGTCATCCCTTAATACTCTTATTTGTAGTGATAGAAAATGCAGGAAAGGTTGTTGGTTGTTAGGTATATTTTGGGGAAGTTGAAGGGAATAGTTGAGGCTTTCATTTTAATCATAGCAGTGCTTGTGATGCCTTACCAAACCTCAATCTTTCTGGTAGTTATTATTATTATTATTATGTGTATGTATATGGTTTGCATACGTGTGGGCATATGCGTCTGCATGTGTAGGTGCACTTGTGTGCACATCAGTCAGGAGGCCCAAGGTTGGTGGTGGGAGTGTTGTTTGAGCAAAGGTCTCTCACTTGAACCCAGAGCTCATCAAATCTGTTAGTCTGCCTATCCAGGTTGGTCCTTGGGATCCTGTCCCCACCTTCTGAGTGCTGGAATTTCAGGTGGGCTTCCAGGACCATGTGGCATTTATGTGGATATAGGAGATCCGAACTCTGGTCTTTACACTTTCATGACAAGCATCTTATCTACTGAGTCATCTCCCCAGGCCTCTGGTAGTTTTAACTCTTTATTTTTATTAATTACAGTTTATTCACTTTGTATCCCAACTGTAGCCCCCTCCCTTGTCCCCTTCCAATCCCACTCTCCCTCCCTCATCTCTTCCCATGCCCCCCCCTCCACTGATAGGGGAGGTCCTCCTCTCCTTCCACCTGACCCTAGCCTAACAGGTCTCATCAGGGCTGGCTGCATTGTTTTCCTCTGTGGCCTGGTAAGGCTGCTTCCTCTTCATGGGGAAGTGATCAAAGAGCCAGCCACTGAGTTCATGTCAGAGACAGGCCTAGTCTTAACTCTTGATTGCAGTTCCCAAGAGTGCTCCCAGGGATGCCACTCAGTGTTAATATAGACAGTCTTGAGCAAATAATTTCTTTTCTTTTTTTCTCTTTTTGGGACATCTGTAGTCCTAGTTGTCCTGGAGCTTTCTCTGTAGACTAGGCTAGCCTTGCACTCAGAGGTCTGCCTGTCTCTGCCTCTGGAGGGCTGGGATCAAAGGTGTGCACCACCACTGCCCTGCCCTAATAATTCTTTTAAATACTTTAAAAGATAGTTTTATGTCAGTACCATAACTTAAACAACAATGACAATGATTAGTTTTATCTTGGTGTAAAGTAAGCTCTTAAATGAAAGTGGCTAACATTTACTGATGAGCAGGCATGAATCTAGCTGAGAACAAATAGTTCTGCTGTGATAGAGACATCATCCAAACCTGAGTGTACTTGCCAATTGCCTGTGGCAGCACAGTGAGATAAATTGATCTACAGTGTTTCTCCAGTGTGCCTCTATTGCTAGCCATATTGTAACATACAGTAGGACTCCTGGGCAAACAGCTTGTGTGGGCTAGATTCCACAGAAATCATGCAGGTGAATTTTAAAAGACTGTTTGACAGTTTAAACTCATGAGATGAACTTCAGTGAAATTTCCACTCTAATGAACTACTTGCAAGAGATGGGATAGAATTTTTTTAATAAATAGCTTCTCAACTTTTAGTTTTGTGACTTTGAATTAGCAAGTTATTAGTTTGTATGCTTGTTTTTACATAGAAGCAAAGTGAGGATGCTAAATGTATCTGCCTTGTAGTTATGTGCTAATTTAGCTAACACTACACAGAAGAATGCCTGTGACTTAATAAATACTAAGCCAGAACTGTCACGATCATCAACATAAATTGGTAAGATTTATTACCTTCTTAGTGCTGAGATTACAGACAATTCAGCACCATGCCTGACTTACAATTCACATTTAGGGCCTGTGTGATAGCTTAGAGATTAAGAGCACACACTACTCCTGAAGAGAGGACTCTTGCAGAGGAAAACATGGATGCGTATGACCTGCCTCCAGAGGATCTGATGCCTTTGGCCTCCATAGGCATATTTACTCCCAAGCACATACCCACATATGAACATAATTGAAAAAAATACATCTTTTTTGTCCAGCTACTTATGTATTTATAATTTTGAGACAGGGTCTTATTATGTAGCTCTGGGTGGTTGGGAACTCATATGTAGACCATGCTGGCCTAAAGGTCTGCCTGCCTCTGCCCCCTTGTGCTGGGATTAAAGGTGTGTATCACACACCTGGCTAAACTAAATCTTTAAATTTTTTTTTACCTTTAGTAAAATTTTTTTTACCTTTGCTTTTAGTTTTGTACTTCTTCTCTTTCTTGGGCACACTAGAGAGTGCCTTGGGCTTGGCCCTTCTACCACTGAGATGTATCTATCTATCTATCTATCTATCCCCTGTTTGTTTTATTTTTCTCTGAGGTGTAGTTTCTACCACTAAGCTCAATATATTTATCCTCTTTCAGGGATTTGAGTCATAACCGGTTGTCTAACTGGAACATCAGCTTGGAATCACAGACATTACAAGAAGTGTAAGTTATTTCTGTTCATCCAATATTAAAGTCTTTGAAGTAACCTAATTATGAACCTGAGTATTTTGGTGTGTATTTGTATGTTTGTGTACTTGTGCACTTGTACATGCTTGTGGAGTCCAGACATCAACATTATGTGTTTTTAAGTTATTGTTTGTGAATTTCACATATTTTGATCATACTCTTTCCCTTCCCCCAGTTAATTCCTCCCAGATCATCACATACCTCCCTATCTTTCCAACTTCATGTTTTCTCTCTCTCTCCCCCTCTCTCTTGTTTTTGAAAAATGGTCTCACTGTGTAGCCCTCAGTGGACTGGAATTCACTTTATAGATCAGGATGGCCTCGAACTCATAAAAATCCACTTGCCTCTGCCAGCAAGCCTTCCCTGGAGTGTGATTGATATACACAGAATTACTCTGTTGAAGAAACTGATTTCCTCCAGCAGTTACCAGCTGTAAATAGGTTTTTGTCTTGGATTGGGACTTTGTGCCCACTTCCCTTCGGGGTTTGGCTTGAGCTTGTGCAGGTCTTATGCAGACTGTCATAGTCTTTGTGAGTTCATATGTGCATTTGCCCTGCTGTGGCTAAGAAGACAGCTGTCTCCATGAAGTTAGCTATCACCCTTGGTTCTTAGGATCTTTCTGCTCCTTCTTTCTCATACATCCCTGATCCTTGATGGGAGGGGTGTGATAAAGATTTCCTGTTTAGGGCTGAGTATTCCAAAGTCTCTTACTCTCTGCATGTTGATCAGTTAATTAGCATTTACTTCAAGAAGCTTCTCTGATGAGAGTGGAGAGATGCACTGATCTATAGGTATACTAATATGTCATTAGGAGTCGTTTTATTGTTATTTTCATTTAGTAGAATAATAGTAGATTTCCCCTTGTGCCTATGACCTATCTAACCTGAGTTTCTTGGCCTTGTCTGCCTTGTTTTTTTGAGGCAACATCTTTCAACATGGACCTCATTGCTTCAGCTAGATTTACTAGTTATTGATCACCAGGAATCTGGCTAGCTACATTATTCCCACCTCAGTCCTGGGTGTACAGATGGGTACTGCTCTGTTCAGTTTTATTTTGGTTCTAGGGATCCAGACTTGAATCATCATGTTTGTTTTGCAAGTACTTTACTGCCTGGATCATTTATCCAGCCAGAATTTGGGAATATTTAATTTAGAGATGTGAAAAAATTGAAGGAAGGGCTGGAGAGATGGCTCAGTGGCTAAGAGCACTTGATGCTTTTCCAGAGGACCTGAGTTTCATACTCAACAACCAAGTGAGGCATCTCACAGCTATCCTACTGACCTACCACTGAGCAACCCACCCTCCTTTTTTTAAACATAATTTTAAAAATTAAAATATAATTGCATCACTCTTCACCCCCCCTTAAAAACTTTTTATTATTTTATGTGTATTATTATTTTATTATATGTGCCTGCATCATGGATGTCTGTCTGTGTACCACATACATGCAGGATACATAGAGGCCAGAACAGGAAGTCAGAAACCCTGGAACTGGAGTTAGAGATAGTTATGAATTGCCATATGGGTTCTGGGAATCAAACCTAGGTCTTTGGAAGAGCACCCAGTGCTTTTAACCCCGGAATCACTTCTTCAACCCCTCAGTCCCCTCTACCCCCTTTAGAAAAGATAGGATCTTGCTATGTAGCTTAGTCTGGTCTAGAATATACTGTGTAGGCCAGGCTAGTCAATGGACTTGTGCATCCTCCTACATCCATCTTCTAAGGCCTGGGGTTACTATCATGTGTCGTCATATGTGGCACAAGCCTTTGTAATACTGATTTTTCTTTCTTTTTCTTAATTTTTTGAGATAGAGTCTTTTTTATTATAGTCCAGGTTAGTTTTGAAGTTACATTCTCCTTCCTATTCCTCTCAAGTAATAGAACCACAGGTGTGCTAAAACCACATCCAGCATCTAATACTGATTTTAATGGTAGATCTTTACTCTGAAGTAGTACATTTCTAATTTCTTAGAGCTGGAGACGTTAAGCACACACACTGCTCTTACAGAGGACTTGAGTTTGGTTTGCAGCACTCACATTGGGTGACCCACTACTGCCTGTATCTCAGGCTTCAGGGGAATCTGATGCCACTGGTTTCTGAAGGCACTTGCACTTACGGGTACAATCCTCCTTCCCTCAAATAATTAGAAGTAATAAAAATCTGTAAAAAGAAAGAAGTCCAATTTCTCAGAAACCACAATTTCATGTTAGTCTAACTCATCCTGAGTCATAGGCCTTTTAAATTTGGATATACTAGCATATTAGCCAAAAACCAAAGTTCAAGATGTAATTTCTATCATTAAACTTTCAAAACTGTTTTCTTTTTTTGCTTAGGAAAATGAATTACAATGAGCTAACAGAGATCCCATATTTTGGCGAACCAACACCTAATATTACTCTACTTTCATTGTAAGTTAAGATTTTAGATCTTTTATTTAATAAGAATTGTATGTGTATATATTTATATGCGTGTGTATTACATATATGTATTATATATAGGTGTGTGTGTGTGTGTGTATTATATACATAAATGTAGAAACCCCCGTTTTGGAGAACCAACACTTGCTATCACTCTGCCGACAATATAACATATAACTGTAATATAACAGTATGTGTTGTTTGTTTTTCAAGTACCTATTTATTCTGTTGATCCTAATTATATAGTATCTTTGTGGCCTGGGATAGGTCACTGACAATAACTTCAGTATAATCCTTTTTTGTAGGGTCCATAATTTAATACCAGAAATAAATGCAGAAGCATTCCAGCTTTACACTGCTCTCGAGAGTTTAGACCTCAGTTCCAATATAATATCCGAAATCAAGACATCTTCATTTCCTCGAATGTCACTGAAATATTTGTAAGTAAAATAGAGACCTAGATTCACTCAGTTGGTTGGAAGAACAGTTTATTGAGGAAACTGCAAGGGAACAGTGGGCTGAGTGATAACTTGTGTGCCTGCTTCCTGGATTTACTTTAAAGTGCATTTCTGTCATTTATTGGTAACCATATTCCCTCAAATGTCTGTTGTTTATTGTAATTTTGATATGCATATAAAACAAGCTTAGTTTTGTGCTTTTGGAGTTACTTATTCCACTACTTCATCCCAAAAGAACGAGTGCTCTGTTGGCAGAACAGATTGCTGGATATTGAGAGCAAGCTTGAGATTTAGTTTCTAACATTTCTTTAGTTGTTTATTATTGTTCTCTGGATGATGTACTATGCAGATCCTACAGAGTGTGGTGGTCAGAGGACAACTCTGGACTTTTTTTTTCTTCTATCTTTTTCTTTCTTTTCTTTTAGTTTTTGAAGGCAGGGTTTCTCTGTGTAATCCTGGCTGTCCTGGAACTCACATTCCAATCTAGCCTTGAACTCAGAGACTTACATGCCTTTACCATTAAAGGCATGCACCACTGCGTGCCCCCCTCCCCCCACCTTTTCTTCCATATTTAGGTAAAATTCAGGTTAAGCTTGTTTGGCAAGTGCTTTTACTTGCTAACCCATCTTATAATGGTGCATATGTACACACACACACACACACACACACACACACACACACACACACACAGTATCAGTAAAGATTCTTTTTTGGTTCATAAGCATGATGATTGCTTTTGACGTGACATGCGCCTCCCATGAGCCTTGTTACACCTTGTCGCATGACTTTCGTCTGATATGGGGGGAAAAGCCATCAGCTCAAGATTTAGTTTGAGAGTTTTTCATTTTGGTACTGGGAACCAAATCCAGGACTTTGTCATGCTAGGCAGTGGCTGTGCTATGAGCCACACCTCCAGTCCTAGTCAGCAATTTTGTAAAAAGTAAATGGGAATGATTTGTTACTGTTTGTTAAACAGTAGCTTACCTTGTATAATGATGACAGCATGTATGCCAGTTTCTAAAGTATATTCATACACACTACTTTGTAACATTCTAAATGAAGTAGAAGCCATCCTTTTATCCCACCTTGTTTTTTTTCTTTTTCTTTTCTTTGTTATTTTCTCTTTTGTTGTTGTTGTTTGTTTTGTTTTCCTTTTTGTTTGTTTTGAGACAGGGTTTCACTTTGTAGTCCTGGCTGGTTTGGAACTCAGTAGGTAGAACAGGCTGGCCCCAAACTCATAGAGATCCACCTGCCTCTATCTTCTAAGTGTAAGAATTAAATTTAAGGGTGTGCTCCAAAAAGTCCCACCTTCCTCTTGTTTTTAGATGGTAGGGTTCAAAACTAGGACTTTGTCATATCCTAGGCAAAGACTTTATCACTGAGCTATACTTCTAGCTCTTACATAATTAATTTTGTAGATGAAGGGAGAAAACAGTTAAGTGATTTGTGAAATAAATAGCAGTTGAGGGGCTGAGGAGATTGCTCAGTGGGTACAAGTGCTTGGCTCTGTAAGCACAAGGACCTGAGTTCAAATCCCAAACACCCATATACAGGCGTGGTTGCGTGTGTCTGTAACTCTCGCGTTGGGGGTAATGAAGGGCAGATCCCGAGAGTTCAGTGGCCAGTCAGCCTAACCAAAATGATGGACTTACAGTTCTATGAGAGACTGAGCTCTTTGTTCTGTGAGAAATCCTGACTCAAGGCAATAAATCAGAGAATGATAGAGGTAGCTCTCCCTTCCCCCATCCTGCTCTGGCCTCTATACCCACACATACATACTCACCTGGACAACGTATACACTTGCACACAAAAGAGTGCAGGGAATCTTTTGAAGAAGGGGGAGATAGAAAGACCTAGAGGGGCCAGGAGCTCCACAAGGAGAGCAACAGAACCAATATATCCGGGCCCAGTGGTCTTTTCTGAGACTGATACTCCAACCAAGGACCATGCATGCAGATAACTTAGAACTCCTACACAGATGTGGCCAATGGCAGCTCAGTCTCCAAGTGGGTTTCTTAGTAAGGGAAACAGTGGCTGTCTCTGACATAAACTCAGTGGCTGGCTCTTTGATCACCTACTCCTGAGGGGGAAATGGGAGAGGAGGGTAGCCTTACCAGGCCACAGAGGAAGACAATGCAGCCAATCCTGATGAGACCTGATAGGCTAGGGTCAGTAGACCTGGGGAGGGGCATGGGAGGAGAAGAGGATTGGGAGGGGACGAGGGAGAGGGCTACAAAGTGAATAAATTGTAATAAATAAATAAATAAATTAAAAAAACTAAACCAAACAAAAAATATTTTTTTGGTTCATAAGCATGATGATTGCTTTTTACATGACATGTGAGATATCTCTCACGAACCTTGTTACAGTCTTGGCACATGACTTTTGTCTGATGTGAAAAAAAAGCTTGACTTGAGGTGGGAGTTAGAAATAGCAGTTTGTTGTGGGCTATTAATATTTATCATTGATGTAACTTTTAGTTAAACAGCGGTTGTTCCTAAACCAGCTATATACCCAAATTACCACACAGAAACTAGGATGTATTTAGTTAACGTAGAGCATAATGCTGAGCAATGATTACTCCATCTTAAACCTCCAAGCCCGCATAGAACCTTCCATTCAGATTTTACCCATTATACTTGCTTTTAGTCATATCTTAGGTCTGGTTCATCTCTCCTTATGGTTCCAAAACCTCTCCTGCTGATCTCTGCTCTCTTACTTTCACTAGCTTCTTTCACTTCCCTCTGGACCAGGATGTCCCACCCTATCTCTCCATTGCACAGCATTGGCTGGTTGTTTTATTGACAATACAGAGAACAAATTGGTGGCATGTTTACGCAAACTTGATGCTTAGAATAAACATCACAATGCAATGTCCAAATTGAAACCAGATAGTGGGGTAGAGAAATCATCATTTGAATGAACAAGGGTAAATTGTATACATTCCACAAGATACTATACCAACAGCAGTTGAATAATTTGTCAAACATTTATAGTTAAGTGATAGAATTGGAGCCAGACTTACAGACTTTGGGTTATCACTATTTCTGTTCTTTTGCTGGTACCTTGTCTTTTTAGGAATTTGAGTAATAACAGAATAACCACCTTGGAGGCTGGCTGCTTTGACAACTTATCAGGTTCTTTATTAGTGGTAAAATTAAACCGGAACCGAATTAGCATGATTCCACCTAAAGTCTTCAAGTTGCCTCATCTCCAATTCTTGTGAGTAATAAAATTGATGGATTATAAGAAGACAAGTTTTCCTTTACAGCATTTTTTCTTTTAAATTACTGTTAGAGTTATTCAGCCAACTTTCTAATTGTACAATTTTTTGTTTAAGGGAACTAAAAAGAAACAGGATTAAAATTGTAGAAGGCCTTACTTTCCAAGGGCTTGATTCCTTACGCTCATTGAAAATGCAACGGAATGGGATTAGCAAACTCAAAGATGGAGCATTTTTTGGCTTAAATAATATGGAAGAATTGTAAGTATCAGAAGAGGGGATAGTTGTGAGGACTCTTTCTGGGGCTTTTAATGCCAGAACAGTGAAGAGGCAGTTGCTTATGTAACAGAGATACATGAATGGTTTTTCTGATGGGAGGTAAAATGCACAAACAACCTCCACTTTCTTCTGCCCTTCCTCCTCCTCTTTTCCTACATTGAACCCAAGGCCTTACACATGCTGCATCCCTTGCCTTCATACAGACTTGAAGTTTTTTTAGTTAACTGGTATTTTTGTTTTCATTCTTAAGCTTTTCAATATAAAAAGAAATTATTTTATATTGTTTTGACTTGAAATTACCAGAATTTATCTGGATCAAGAATCCTGTACCACTTGATCTGTTGGTTTTGTAGATATTTAGTTCCTTTAGGGCTAAATCTACGTTTCTTGGGTCACTAGAGTTCAAAAGGTGTCTGAGAGTTTAATGGAGATTTAACACTGTGCTTGATATTGAATGTGCCTTGTTTGGAGTTACTCGCTTCTCTCTATAATTGTACAGAGAACTGGAACATAATAACCTTACAGGAGTGAACAAGGGGTGGCTCTATGGCTTACGAATGTTACAGCAGCTGTATATGAGCCAGAATGCTATTGAAAGAATCAGCCCCGATGCATGGGAGTTCTGCCAGAGACTATCGGAACTGTAAGTGTTGAATGGTGGTGCTTCATGGGAGGGTGTGTTTGGAAGAAATTATTCTCATGGTAGTTGTGAGATCTGGCTTCCCTATTTCCTCAGGTTTTGTTAGAACACTGAATTTAGTGTGTCAGTGGAGTAAAATTTGTAGGTGGAATAAATACAATAATTTCTGACTTTCAATTTTTTTAATTTTTTTAGGGATTTGTCCTATAACCAGCTGACTCGCCTTGATGAATCAGCCTTTGTGGGGCTGAGCTTACTGGAGAGATTGAATTTAGGGGACAATAGAGTCACTCATATTGCTGATGGTGTATTTAGGTTTCTTTCTAATCTTCAGACATTGTAAGTTTTAGTTTTTAAGTCTTCTTTAGAATGAAATTAAGCAAATGAATGAAAATAACTAATCAATATGAATATATGTATATGTTAGTATTTTGTGTTTCTTTTGTTCTCTATCCCATATATAAATCTTAAAGCAGTTTATACTTTAGTTTGATCTAATCTCACAACAGCAAAGTTAGCAGTGTCAGAATGCAGCCATGTGCTTGTTATCATGATGGATAGTGTGTCAGAACTATTGGCTTTTGTCTGGAAGGATGTAGGTATATAGTGGTGGCAGTTCTGTTCACTGTTAGTAGTTTGCTGCATGACTTTGGTTTGTGTGTGCGTGCGTGCATGCGTGTGTGTGCATGTGCCCGTGGTTTTTGGGTCCTTGGGGCTAGTGCTAGACACTAAAACTTTAGTATACTAGGCCAGCACTTTATGACTGAGCTCTATCTTCATGGCTTTGCCCAAAAGAAACTAACTTCATTTTTCCTTTGCATTTTTGGAGATAATATCTCACTATGTAGCTTAGGTTGGACTTGAACTCTTAGCTATGCCTTCTAGGTGCAGGGATTATAGGCATGTACCAGCATGCCTGGCTAAATGGTGTGTGTGTCTGTGCCTGTGTGCACACAAGTGTGTGTGCAGTGGTGCTGCTGCTAATTGATTATTGGCCTTGTTCAGTGGAGCACTCTCCTAGCATACACAAGACCAGTAGTCAACACCAGCACCACCGATGAACTTCCTTAAGATTGCTTTCAGGAGTCTGGCTTGGGTACCAGTGGCCGTAAGACTTCAGGAACTCTCTCTCCTCTCCTCCATCAACTATTAACTATGTATAAACCCTCAGTGAGGTATAGGGCCTAGTCAGCTTCTTCTTCCTCCATTACAGGCTGGGTCTCATGTTACATAGGTAATTATAGCTTCTGGGAGTTGAAGATGGTTATGCCATGTCATATGAGATAGCTTTAGGAAGCAAAAGTGATTAAATACTTCTAATATAGCTAGTATTTCATCAGCACATGATGTATACAAGTATACTTTTCTCTGACAATGGGATAGTGGATTTTTTCTATGTTAATCTCTTTCTAAACTTGATTGATTGATTGATTGATTGCAATTTATTCACTTTGTATCCTCCTCCCTCATCTCCCTCTTCTCCCGCTATACCCTTTCTCTAATCCACTGATAGGGAAGGGCTACATCTGTGCAGGGGTTCTAGGTTATCTCCATGCAATTTATTCACTTTGAATCCCCACTGCAGCCTCCTCCCTCTTCTCCTCCCAGTCCCACCCACCCTCTCACTTCTCCCCCTATGCCCTTTCCCTAGTCCCCTGATAGGGGAGGACTCCTTCCTTTCCATCTGACCCTAGCCTATCAGGTCTCATCAGGACTGGCTGCATTGTCTTCCTCTGTGGCCTGGTAAGGCTGTTCCCTCCTCAGGGGGAGGTGATCAAAGAGCTGGCCACTGAGTTCATGTCAGAGACAACCTTTTTACCCCTTACTAGGGAACCCACTTGGAAATTGAGTAGCCTATGGGCCTCCTCTGAGCAGAGGGTCTAGGTCCTCTCGATGCATGGTCCTTGGGTGGAGTATCAGTCTCTGGAGGACCCCTGGGCCCGGGCTTTTTGGCTCTGTTCTCATTGTGGAGTTCCTGTCCCTCCAGGTCTTCTATCTCCCTCTTCTTCCATAAGGTTTCCTGCACTCTGCCCAAAGTTTGGTTATGAATCTCAGTATCTCCTTCGATAACCAGGTGGGTAGAGTCTTTCAGAGGTCCTCTGTGAAAGGTTCCTGTCCTGTTCCTTTTTTTTTTTCCTACTTCTGATGTCTATCCTGTCTGCCCTCTGAATGAGTTTTCAGCCTCTTCCCTAGGGTCCTCCTTGTTGTTTAGCTTCTTTAGGACTTTCTGCTTCTGGGTTACCTCACTCCCCAGCTATACCATTCCTGGGCATTTACCCAAAAGATGCCCCACCATTCAATAAGGACAGTTGCTCAACTAAGTTCATAGCAGCTTTATTCGTAATAGCCAGAATCTGGGAACAACCTAGATGTCCCTCAGTGGAGGAATGGATACAGAAAGTGTGGTACATTTACGTAATAGAATACTACTCAGCAATCAAAAACAAGGAAATCATGATTTGCATGCAGATGGTGGGAACTTGAAAAGATCATCCTGAGTGTGAAGTAGTAGGTTTTAAAAGATGATACTTTTAAAGAAAAACGCACTGACTGCTCTAGCATGTGGTCATACAATTTTTGCTTTCCAAGGGGAATGCTTAATTGCTCTTGGCTATGAAGCTCTGTGTTGGTATTTCTGTTTGAGCAAATAAGTTTAAGGGCCCAGAGGGAGTCTTGAAGCATCCAGGAATCCCATGAGTCTAAAATTACATTTTCTTTTTTTTTTTTTTCATTTACATTATTTTATTTGGAAATGTTTATAACAGTACAGTGAAACTAAATTCCAGAGACAATGGATGTCATTTCTTTAGGCATCATCAATTTATTATAAAAAGGAGGCAATGAAATTATTTACATGATGAAATAGTTCAGAACATTGGTGGAATGGGCAGCTTCATGTGACACCATTTCAATAGTGATTTCAGTCCACATACTTTCCAAGAATGTCACCATCTCTAAATAAGAAATAATCCTTGTCATCTAGAACTACTTTGGTGCCTCCATACTCTGGGAGAACTTTGTCTCCAACCTTCACACTGACTGGTTGAATCTCTCTGCCCTTTCCTTTTGCGAAAAGTTACATTTTCAAGCTGTATCTATCACCCTTATTTGAAATCCTCCCTTTTGTAGGGCCTTGCCTACAATTTTTAATAGACTAGTACAATTAGATAAGGCTAACTAGGAAGATTAGTAATCTTAGGAGGTTGCTTAGTTTGCTAACCTATGTCTATATTAATAATTAATTAATTAATAAAAATTTGAGGCTGGGTCTCTATGAAGTTCTGACTGTCCTGGAGCTCACTATGTAGATCAGGCTGTTTTGAACTCATAGAGATCTGCCTGCCTTTGCCTCCCAAGTGCTGGGACTAGCCCAGCTGCTTAGTTAATTTATTAAATTTTCGGTGTTTATCACAAATACTCCTTTAAACCCCAGAACTGAGTCTTCATCATCAATCACTGTTAAAATAAAGTTTAAAAGCACTATGTGTCCCTTCATGCTGCCATATCAGGATACTTCCTAGTAGTTTGGTGGACATACTGGCTAATAATCTTTTTCTCCCTGACACTTTCAGAGATTTGAGAAACAATGAAATTTCATGGGCCATAGAAGACGCTAGTGAAGCCTTTGTTGGACTCAAAAGCCTCACTAAATTGTATGTATTTGTGATGTTTGCGTGTATCTCATGTCTTTTCAAGGAGTGTTGTAAATGTTATTGGAAAATGTTTATTTTCTATGAACAGAAAATCTGAGCCTTCCCACTGTCTCCTAAAGGAAGGAGCTTTGTTTATCAAATAGTTTGTTGTTGTTTAGGCAGTTTATAATTTTTTATATTTTTTAATTAATTATTTATTTACTTCATATCCCAATCCTAGCTTCCCTTCCCTCTTTTCCTTCCTGTCCCTCCCTCACTTTCCCTCCCCCACATCTACCCCTCCTCTCCTCAAAAAAGGGGAGACCTTCCATGGATATCAACAAGGTTTGGCATACTAAGTTGCTGTCAGTCTAGGTGTATCTTCTATTGAAGGTAGACAAGACAGCCCAATTATAGGAAAGGGATCCAAAGGCAGGCGGTGTAGTCAGACATAGCCCCTGCTCCCATTTTAGGAGTCCCACATAATGATCAGCTGCACTACTGTTCCATATGTGTAGGGGGCCTGGGTCTGTCCCATGCATGCTCTTTAATTGGCAATGCATTCTATATGAGCCCCTATGGGCCAGCACTTTTTATTTATAAAGGATTCCTATGGAAATTTACCTTTCATCTAAATTACTTTCAGATTAGCGTTGTAAGAGATGGCTTGCAGTCACAGAATGTTCATACATGCGTCTCATTGTTCTTTGTTCTCTTTATTCCCCTCCTTACTGTCCTTCCACTTCCTCTATACTGCGGGTGGTTCCCTTATATTCAGGTAGATTCTTCTGCTCTGTTTTTTTTTTTTTTTTTTTTTTTTTTTATTAATTACAACTTATTCACTTTGTATCCCAGCTGTAGCCCCCTCCCTCATTCCCTTCCAATTCTACCCTCCCTCCCTCCTCTCCTCCCTTGCCCTTCCCTCAGTTCGCTGATAGGGGTGGTTCTCCTCCCCATCCATCTGACCCTAGGCTATAGGTCTCAATCAGGATTGGCTGCATTGTCTTCCTCTGTGGCCTGGTAAGGCTGCTCTCTTATGAGATATGCACCATTCTTTATCTCCCATCTCCTTTGGATCTCTTCCTCCCGTCAGGATCTCTTTTCTAGTTTTATCACACACACACACACACACACACACACACACCTGCGTGTTTGTAATTCTAACTCTAGGTACTGTATATGAGAGAAAATGTTTGGTTGCATCCATTTTTCTGCAAATGCTATAACTTCATTTTTCTTTATTGCTACATAAAATTTTATTGTATGTATGTGTTACCTTTTCTTTATCCTCTGTGTTTTAATGGACATCTAGGCTGGTCCCATTTCCTGGCTGTTGGAAGTAGTACAGCAGTAAGCATGGTTACGCAAGTATCTCTGGCATATTGACTTAGAGGCTTTCAGGGATACATCTACCAATAGTATAGCTGGGCCATATGGTAGTTCTGTTTTCAGTTTTTGGAGGAACTTCCATACTGATTTCCATAGTGCCTGGACAAGTTTACATCCTCAATCTAATGGAATTTAAATAAGTGACTGAATAGAATTTTCTGTTCAAGTAAGAGAAATGCCCTGAGAAAATGTAGTAGAGCAGGTGTATGTTTAATCATATGAGATATTTGGGGAATCAACCTAAATAATAAGGGAAATAGTCTCCCATGAAACATTTTAGATCTCCAATGAGAAGGAATTCTCCAAAGAGTCATATTTGTCTCAATCTGATCATCTTTTATTAAGGAGAGAAATGGGGACTTTAACCTCACTTTGCATTGGTCAGCTACCCAGTATTTCAGTGGCTAGGATGATTGTTAGAGGACTTCCATTGAGCTATGAGATCTCAGTAGAAGCTTTTATATTGTGCTTTGCGTTAATTAGTAATTCATAACTTTCTTAAAAATGCTTGCTTTCATTAAGCTATAATTCAGTGTGTATAATTTTTCCCTCAGTAATATCTGAGTAAAGCCATTAAAGGGACTAAAAGGATGGCTCAGAGGTTAAGAATGCTTTCTTCTCTTGCAGAGGACCTGGGTTTTGTTCTCAGCACCCATATTAAGTGACTCTTAAGCATCTTATACCTCAGGGGGTCTGAGGACTTCCTGGCTTCCAGAGGCACATCCCCCACATGCACATACCTCTCCCCCACATATACACACAGACACATAACGAAAAATAGTTTAAAGAGTGTGTTAACAATACCACATGTAAACATTTAACACAATTACACTTTGTGTAGGTAAATATTTAATGAATTTAATTTTATTTCAGAATCTTGCAAGGAAACCAGATTAAGTCAATTACACAGAAAGCATTCATTGGTCTTGAATCTCTTGAGTATCTGTAAGTATTTCATATATATTTACTCACTGTGTAATCTTTGTGAGGGGGGGGCAATGGTGGCTGCCTTTAATCCCAGTCCTCAGAAGACAAAGGCAGGCAAATCTTTTTGAGTTTGAAGCCAGCCTGGTCTATGTAGCCAGTTTAAGGCCAGCCAGAGTTGCATATTGAGACTGTCAGCAGGAGGTGTTCATGAACATGTATACATTACATACTTTCACTATAGAAATGGTTACTGATGTGTTTTTTTTTTTTTTTTATTTTAGAGATTTGAACAACAATGCTATAATGTCTGTCCAAGAAAATGCTTTTTCTCAGACTCATTTAAAGGAACTGTAAGTAATTTTTTTCTCTTTTAGTTGTTAGGACTCATTATATGTAATATATGGCATTTGTGTGCCTGGTGCCCATAGAGGCCAGAGGATCATCAGATCCTGTGGAACTGGAGTTACAGATGAGTGTAAACCGCTGTGTGGATGATGGGAATTGAACCTGGGTCTTTAGGAAGAGCAGACATTGTTCTTAACCTCTGAGACATCTCTCCAGCCCCTCTTTGTAGAGTAAAGAAGGCAATGCAGATGTTTTCAGAATCATGTCCTTCAAGCAAAAGGTAGAAACATGTTATCACTGAGTTGTTTTGAGTAGTGGTATCATCTAGAGATAACCCAGCCCTGAAGAGTAAGGAGTGTGTGCTAACGATTGTCATGTGTTTAAACTACTGAAATGTTCAGAAACTTTAAATGTTGCAGTAGAAAAGATAGTGTTTTATACTTTTTTTTCCACATATAATTTTTAAAGTAATTTAAAAAATATGTTTGGGTATTTTGCCTACATGTGTGTCCCTATACCAGATACATTCCTGGTACCTGTGGAGGCCAGAAAAGGATGTCAGATCCTCTGGAATTGATGTTACAGACAGTTGTGAGCTGCCATGTGGGTGTTGGGAACTGAACCCAGGTCTTCTGAAAGAGCAGTGCTTTTGACTGATGAGCCATTTCGCCACACTTCCTATATAATTTTTTAAAATGACAATTTTATTTTCTACAAGTTGTCCTCTGACCTCCACAGAAGAGCATGGCACATAGCCAAGCATAAAGGCATACACCTTTACTCCCAGTACTTGGGAGGCAGAGGCAGGCAGATCTTTTGTGAGGCCAGCTAGTTTACTTAGTAAGTTCCAGCATAGCCAGGATTATATATAGGGAGACCCTGTTTCAAAAAAAAAAAAAAAAAAAAAAAAGAAGTATGCCATGTATGTATGCCATCCCCCCAACATGTGTGCACACATATGGTAAATAAAAATTTAAACAAATTTATTTTAAACTACTGATTTGTAATAGGTTGGAAATTTTAAAAACTGGTTCTTACCACAGATTGATATGTACTAGAAATGTGTTTTTAAACTTGTGTTCAGACCCTTTCTTCATTCCTTACAACTTGCCACAGTAGGCAAATTGTTTAGCTAGAGGCTCAGTGTACGTTCTCAGAGTGGGAATAATGGTTCCCTAGGGTCAAGTGAAGTTACAATGAACTAATTTGTTTGCTAAGACATTTATTCATCATTTTGTACTGTATTGGACCATGGTCTCTGTTCTTACCTCATATTATATTAAGGCAGTTTATTCTAAGGCAGATAAAGAATTGAGATAGTAAGGGCTAGGGATGTAGCTTGCCTAGCATGTACAAGGTCCTGAGTTATTCTCCAGCACTGCAAATCAGTGATGACAATATTTGGATAAATAGATGTGGATGTGGAGAGTTTTGAGACTGATCCAGCCACATAGTAAAAATCAAGTGACTAATATCAACAACAAAAATTGAAATATGAAAATCTGTACTATGGATGTGACTAGTTGGTAAAATACTTGCTTAGCATGTGTGAAGCTCTGGATTTTTTCCTTAGCATTGCGTTAACCAGGTGTGATGCCTATAATCCCAGCACTCAAGATGTAAAGGCAGGAGGATCAGAAAGTTTGAAGTCATCTTCAACTACCTATCAAGTTTGAGGTTAGCCTGGGCTACATAAGACTGCCTCAAAAAGTTTTGGAAAATAATCATTAATTACTTTTTGCTTCGTTATAAAAATTTCTGTGAAATATTTGGATTTACTTTAGGTTTAGCTAATTTGTAAGGATTCAGTTTAACTACAAATCACTTTACCTTTTTCTACCAGTATAATCTGAGGGCCTGCAGAAAAGCTTTAACTATTACGAGAACCTGGTTCAGCGTATGTGTCAGATAGTAGGCAGTATAGTTTCCATACAGAGGTTCACTCGGGAGGTGAACAAGTGACAGGTATTTGTTTGAACAAACTTCAGTCATACTCCTGACTCTTCTAGGCCTGTGTGTGTGTGTTTTGACAAGGTCTCACTATGTAGACCAGGCTGGCACTGAACTCACAGAGATCCACCTGCTTCTGCCTCCTAAGCGCTGGGATTAAAGACATGCGCCACTACACCCTGGCCTTCTAATCTTTTTTTAAAGTTAGTTTTATCTAAACTTTTCTGAATCTAAAAGTTTAGCAAGGATCCTCCCATATAAATATCTGGGTATCCCTAAATAACTGATCACATTTTTCCTTCTGTACTATTCCCCAGGTGATGTCTGACCACATTGGCCTGCCTTTTGCAAGAATATTTCTAGGTTGTTTTTGCTAGAATCCACCTCAGTTCTGAAGCCACCCATGGGTTCCCACCCCTCTTTTTCTTTGGCTAAAATTTCTTGTTTGCTGTAATTGGAGTTGAGCCCAGCTTCTTTCCTCTGTTATAGAATTTCATTGCAGTGATCTCTGTGCCTGGGAGATGGTCTTGAATACACTGTACATCACCATGCTTTAACAAGTGTTGAATAACTTTTTTCTTTAACAGTTAGGAGGTTGTAGCACAGATAGGATCAGATTCATCATTGGACCCTGGACCTCTCACCCAGGACTCCCAAATGTACACCTTTGAAGCCTTTGTCTTCATTCCTGACTGATTGATCGGGGATCCAATGGTGAGTCAGACTGGTGATTCGTTGCTCTGGACAAATGTCCATTGGAGCTGGTAAGGAGAGATTTTGATTCTTGAGATTTTGAATGCAATTTCTCAACTGGGGCAGAGTGCCATGCTTCTTTTCAGAGACACTGCTCTGCCAGAGGTCTTCCTGGTCCTCTTTCCTCAGTGGAGATTGCTTCTCAACTCTCTGGTATTTTCTTGATTGGATTCCAGTTTTCCTACAGGAACTTCTCTGTACTCACCAGAAACCCTGGCAATAGGGTGTTCTGCTAACTCTCCACTTCCCAAGTATAGGAATTTTATTGTCCTCTTTGAGGAACTTAAGGTCTCCATGTACTGGTTCCTCTTAAGATCACTCCCTTCCCATTGTTACTTTTTTTTCACCTCTGAACCACTCACCCCCTGAGTCTTTTGATATGTGTCTTTGAAAATCCCTCTTCTGCATATGTCCATTCATCTTCATCAGACCAGATCCCATTTTAGCTGCTTCACTTTCAGGCCACCTGTCCTCCATTGGGGACACTCCAGGAACTAATAGACCCCCAAATAACAACTGTGTGATTCTGAAAAACACTGAATGGAAGTACTCTTTTATCTATACTCAGATGGGCTTTGGTGATATCAAGATAGCTCCTAGGTGTCTAGTAACCTCCCTGAGATTGATTTTATGTTATGGCAAAATAATTTTAAAAAATTAATTAGCATTCATCGATTATACATGATAATAGTTTCACTGTGATATTTTATGTAATGTATTCTGAGCATATTCATTCCCTAACTCCTCCTTTATCCTCTTATCTCCCAATTACTCCTGCTAATCCTCTTTTCAAGAAGCCCCACTTCTGTTTTTATGTTCTTTTTGTTTGTTTTTGTGACCCAGTGAGTTTCAGTAGGGCTGTTTACAAAAACATGGGCATCTTATTAGTGCCTATAGAATTGAAGGAAATGTTTCTCCATCCCCCAACAACCACTAACAGTATATAAATCCTCAGAGGGTTACCCAAGATTGACAGTCTCCTCCACAAATGTATGTATGTTTCACCTTCTCCTTCAGGAGTATGTTCCCTGTGCTGAAACTGCATAGTACCAAACCATATATACACTATAAAACTGAGGCTGCAGAGTAATACAGTTCACTTGGCCTTCTATATCTTGTGCCCTGTTATCGCTTCTTCATCATTTGTGGGTTGGAACTTTAACAAGTTAAAGAAGTTATTTGAACCCAAGCCACTGTAATACTCGATCTAATAATCAAGATGGCCACTTAATCATTGGTGGGTATCAGCATATGCAGTGTGGATACACTAGACAAAAGGATGGTTTATGTCCTGAATGGGCAGCATGAGATTTTATCTCATTAATCAAAATGGCACACATTTTGCAATTTAGGTTTATTTACTTATGTGCTTTTCTGTGTAACATTTGTATATATCTTTGACCTCAGGTGATTGAAACTGCAAAAAGCAAGCTATGGATAAGGGAGATGTACTGTATTTGTAAATAGGTATCTTTCCCACTTTGTTTTTCAGCAAGTTTGGATAAAAATATAAAGAATAGGAAAAACAACAGTTTTGTACTTAAAACAGCAGCCTTTGGGAGGCAGAGGCAGGAGGATCTCTGTGAGTTTAAGGCTAGCCTGATCTACATAGTGAATTTCAGTCCAATCAGGGCTGCAGAGAGACTCTGTCTCAAAAAAAGTAAATAAATGAGTGAGTTTTGTTAGTTTTATACTGATTCCAGAAAGCTGTAATATCTCTGTTTGCATCTGTTTAAATGGTAGTTTGTATATGTTTGGTATGAATGTTTGTATGTTTGATAATTTTCTGTTTTTGTATATGTTCACATGTGCATATGTGAAAGTACATAACATGAATGTGCATTAAGAGGCCAGAAATTGACATGAGGGGTCTTTTTCTGTTCCTCACCTTATTTTTTGAGCTAGGGTCTCTCACTGATCCTGGAGCTCTCTTTTGGCTAACCTGGCTGGCCAGCATGCTCTTGAGATCTCCCTGTCCCTGCTTCCCCAGAGAAAGCTTCCAGATACATGCAGCAGCACCCATCTTTTACATGGGTGCCAGACTTAGATCCGCATACAGCAAACCCTTTAGCTGATGAGCCACTTCTAGCCCTTGATAGTTGTTTAGCTCTATATCAGAGCTTCTCAACCTTGGGGTCACGACAGATCTTTATTGCCAAACTTTACATTATGTTTTTGTTGTTGTTGTTTTGTTTTTTCAAGACAGGATTTCTTTTTTGTGTAACCCTGTCTGTCTTGGAACTCACTCTATAGATCAGGCTGGCCTGAAACTTAGAGGTCCACCTGCCTCTGCCTCCCAAGT